TACTTCTGTCAACTTGTCAAAGTCATTTTCTGTCCAGCTTTGTTCCATTGCTGGCAAGAGCTGTGATCCTTTGGAGGAGAAGAGGCACTCTGGTTTTTAGAATTTTCACCTTTTCTCCTCTGGTTTCTCCCCATCTTTGTGGTTTTATCTACCTTTGTTCTTTGGTATTGGTGACCTACAGATGGGGTTTTGGTGTGGATATCCTTTTTGTTGATGTTGATGCTATTCCTTTCTGTTTGTTAGTTTTCCTTCTAACAGTCAGGTCCCTCAGCTGCAGGTCTGTTGAAGTTTGCTGGAGGTCAACTCCAGACCTGTTTGCCTGGGTATCACCAGCAGAAGCTGCAGAACAGCAAATATTGCAGAACAGCAAATATTAGTGCCTGATCCTTCCTCTGGAAGCTTCATCCCAGAGGGGCACCTGCCTGTATGAAGTGTCTGTTGGCTCCTACTGGGAGGTGTCTCCAAGTTAGGCTACATGGGTGTCAGGAACCCACTTGAGGAGGCAGTCTGTCCATTCTCAGAGTTCAACACCATGCTGGGAAAACCACTGCTCTCTTCAGAGCTGTCAGACAGGGATGTTTAAGTCTGCAGAAGTTTCTGCTGCTTTTTGTTCAGCTATGCCCTGCCCACAGAGGTGCAGTCTACAGAGGCCATAGGCTTTGCTGAACTGTGGTGGGCTCTGCCCAGTTCGAGCTTCCTAGATGCTTTGTTTACCTACTCAAGCCTCAGCAATGGCAGACACCACCTTTCCCCCACCCACCAACCCCCGCCAGGCTGCAGACTCGCAGGTTGATCTCAGACTGCTGCGCTAGCAGTAAGTAAGGCTCCATGGGCTCCTGCCGAGCCAGGCATGGGAGAGAATCTCCTGGTCTGCCAGTTTCTAAGACTGTGGGAAAAGTGCAGTATTTGGGTAGGAGTGTCTCGTTTTTTCAGGTACAGTCTATCATGGCTTCCCTTGGCTAGGAAAGGGAAATCCCCCAACCCCTTGTGCTTCTGGGTGAGGTGACACTCCACCCTGCTTCAGCTTGCCCTCCGTGGGCTGCACCCACTGTTCAACCAGTCCCAATGAGATGAACCAGGTACCTCATTTGGAAATGCAGAAATCACCCATCTTCTGAATCGATCATGCTGGGAGCTGCAGACTGGAGCTGTTCCTATTTGACCGTCTTGGGACAGACCCCTCAAATAGCTAGCATCTTGAGATGGACATGGTGGGAATATTTATACCATGGTAACTGGAAAACACTATCAATTTCTGGAAAGCCTGTTGTTATACTACCAGCACACCACTGTGACAGATAAAGCAAGGAGAACACAGGAATGGATAGAAGGGCTGGGCATGCTTTCTGTGTTTGCCATTTAGAACACTGGGGAAGAGGCCTTGCAGGGACTTAGGACAGTATGCAGGGACTTAGGGGTGATCTAACATGATGGTGTGAGAGGGTTGAATACAGAACTAGTCTACTTAACACTCTCAACCCCTATGTTGATTCTTATATGGCATAAATGCTGAGTGTAAAGTCAGTGACTCTGCCACAGGGCCAACTGTGGTAAGATGTGAGGCTCAGCCGTAGAGTCTCGGCCAGGGTACTTGGCCTCAGTAGTCTATTGACCAGTGACAGCTGAGAGAAGATCAAGTCAATGGAGACCCTATTGGGAAAGAATGGGCACAGGTTTGTGAGCCACATACGTCATCAGCATACTGGCAGATTCAACAGACAAGATTAAGTCAACTGTACTATACTGCCAGTCTGCTATACTACCGTATTGCCAAGACAATCAAGCGAGGAGCTGAGGATAGTCCTATGTCCCCAAGCCCTTTCATCCCACCATCATGAGGTCATGAGAGGCCTCCTCCCCTATATACCAGACACCACCTTGGAAGGCATGGGCATGGCAAAAGGGCACGGAGATAGCATTCCCCCAAAAATGAGTACCAAAGAGACTATTTAAATTACTGCATCTAAGGTTAAAAACCAGTCTCTATATTAACTATCTTTCCTCTGCCCTGATAGGTGGGAGCTCTGGAGGAAGACTAAGCCAGTAACAGACCAAAACTAAAGAGAATACATTTTCTTCTTCCTGACTAGTAGTATAAATATGCAACCTAGTGACACATGTAAAGTAAACGAATAGTATAACTTGTGCTTACTCAAATGTATAATTCATGAAGTTATTTTTTGAATACTCAATCATTCTTTGCAAACTGAAGTTTGGCTTCACTTTTATTTTTCAGATGGAAAAGAGGCTGAGATTTTTGTATTTGAAGAATTTAAAGACACAATGACTCAATTTTGGGTGTCCTTCCAGGAGGTGGGGCTTTCCTCTCAGTCTAATAAGTCCACAAACTAAACTTTTATCATTTCCCCCTGGAATAACCAGAATCAGAGCAAGCGGGTCATTTAAGTCAAATTCAGGACAGGCCAATTAATAAAAGGAGAATACTGAGTTCATATAGTTTCTGTGAAAGATGTAACTGACAGTGGACTGGGATGTTCACAGTTACAGGATGTTAGGGCAAAAGAGGTATTTTGAGATAATTTAGTCCAAGAAACAGACCCGGAGAGGTCAAAATACAAACTCAGAGTTAGGCAGCTTATCGATGGCAGGATTGGAACTCCAACCATGAACCCACCCCCAGTTTTATAGAAGGACTCCAGGATTTGACACTGCGCCTGCCCTCCTCCTTGGCAGGAGTTCATATGGGAAACCAAGTCACAACTGGAAGGCTGCTTAGCGATCACAGAATTAAAACAAGAACCTTCATTCCACTTGGTGATTCCCCTGTGGGCCCATCTTTCAGATACACAAATTCTGACTCCTCTGGTTCTCTTTTTCTAAACTCTGTGAAGAAAGACCACTGGGTCTGTAGTTGGGTCATAAAATGCTTAATTAAGGTATGCTATTTTGGGGTTAAATGCTGAGCCCAACACACATTCTTGATGGGATATAAGTACATCCCAGGTCATGTGATAGTTCCCATTGCCGAGTGTTTATTTGCTATGAATGTGTGACGTGATGTGTTGTACTGAGCACTTTGCATTCTCTATCTCTTTATCCACAATCTTGCAAGCCATCTCTGATGGGCTGCTAGTTTCCACCTCCTAACGTGGTCTTTTCCCCTTGTCTGCGACCCTTTGTCTGGGCAGAGCCATACGGCTGCTTAGACATCCCACCTCTTCTCTTTCAGCTCCCAGGATCCCCATACGTGTGATCATGGAGAGCTAAGAGGGCCCCGGGAGCACATGGGACTGAGCCTGGCTCAGCCAAGTTCCTATTTACCCTCTTAACGTGGATTTCAGCCTCTGTGTTGGCATGAGAGTCCATCTGGTAAGCTGTTTTCTACAAGGAGAAGGGCAGAATAGAGGCATTGACTAAAAATTGGAAACGTTTAAGAGAAATCTAATCTTCCAGGGATACAAACATAATACTGTGTGTAAGTGATCTGGATGTATTGTCTAAACCTGAAGACTTGTAGCCCTGCGGGCCCCTTCACGAGTAGATGGCAGTCAAATCACCTTGTGCTGTCCAGGAACTGTGAGGGAGGTAGATTAATCGTGTAGAAAAGCTACCGCTGCAGATGCTTACGGGGCAGCTGAGCTGTCGAAGAGCTACTGGAAAACCGACTAAAAAGGGAGATTTACAGGGGAAAGTGACAAAGAAAAAAAGACAGAAAACCTGGCTTGGATCCCAAGCCAGAGGAAGGCGCATTCAGACAGGCTGGCCTTTTGACCTTCCTTGCCTAGTCTGACCATTAGAAGCAGAAGATCTGATTAAAAGTACCTAAGAATTTACTAAAAGACTTCACACTTACTTCACCAAAGCTTCTCTTTTCAGAATTTCTATTTTCATTTCTTAATCAATAGTTGAAATAAAAAATCCACAAAGACTTTTTAAAATGTGGTAAAATACACATAACATAAAATTTACCATCTTAACCACTTTAAGCGTACAGTTATAAAGAACAAAGCAGGGCAGGGTGCGGTGGCTCACGCCTATAATCCTAGCACTTCGGGAGGCCGAGGCGGGTGGATCACCTGAGGTCAGGACTTCAAGACCAGCCTGGCCAACATGGTGAAACCCTGTCTCCACTAAAATGCAAAAATTAGCCGGGCATGATGGCGGGTGCCTGTAATCCCAGCTACTCAGGAGGCTGAGACAAGAGAATCGCTTGAACCAGGGAGCTGGTGGTTGCAGTGAGCTAAGATTGTGCCACTGCCCTCCAGCCTGGGCAGCTGAGCGAGACTCTGTCTCAAAAACAAACAAACAAGCAAAAAAGCATTTTGAGAAAATGTAAAGAATGCATTTGAATAAGTTTCTATTATAGTGTCAGTGTCTGTCAGCATTTTAGGATCAAAGAAATTTGAATAGGCTTATACAATAGTGAATGCTTTGTAAAAAATGTTAAATTATAGGGGAAGTCTTCAAGTATTAATCATTCGTGGATCCATATTCTTCTTCTTGCCCAGTAAGGAAAAGGAAAATAAGCTCAGAATGAACTGTTGTTTTTTTGTTTTTTTGTTTTTTTCAGTTAAAGCAGTTTTAATTTAAATATTTTAATATTCAGTACTTTACATTTTGGTAAAATATGTAGAACATAAATTTACCCTTTTTAAGCATTTCTTAATGTTCTCTGGCATTAGGCACATTCACATTGTGTAACCATCACCACTGTCTCCAGAACTTTTTCATCTTCCCAAGCTGATCTTTCTATTTTTTTAAGATACAAGTTGCATCAGTGAATGTAGAGACCACATTTTCTTCTTGACTATATTTACAATTGTTCTAATGTTGTATGTAAATATGTGCTTGTTTTAATGCATGCAGTTAAAAATGACTTCAGGAAAAGGAAGAGGGAATAATATCCACTGAGTCTTTACCAAGCTTGGCATGTTACATATTCCACACAACAATCTGGGAGGCAGAAATTATGAGCCCATTTTACAGATGAGGAAGTTAACACATAAAAAAATTAAGTAGCTTTGCCTAAGGTCACACAGCCAGCATGTGATGGAGGTGAGACTCAACCCCTCTCTGTTTTTCATGGCAACATGCTCTCAGGTTTATACCGCTTTAAGAAAAGTGGGAAAAGAAAGAAAAAAAAGGCATAAGGACGTGGGTTACATGCAATTTTAGTACTGTACGATTGCTATTACTAAAGATACCACCAAAGAAATTATGGGTTTTGCTTTGCTGGGAATTTTAGAGGTCTCGGTGGTCAGTTCTTCTACTTAAGGTATCCTTTATCTGAAAGGACCTCTGAAGGGTTTCTGTGATTTGTGGTTGCATGAAGGTCACCCCATTGCTACTTGTCTTTATAAAACAGTGACAATAGGGACTAAGAAGAGAAAGGGGCAGGTACAGAGAGCGCATGGAATGCTATGGCAGCCGGGAGGGGTCTGGGCTGGGCAGCTGCTCCTGCCATTCCTCCTCTCCTGAGAATATCATATCTGAGCACAGAGCGCTGGAGGAGGGAGGACGGGAAAGGAAACAGATGGCCTCTGCCTGCACAAAAGGACAGCTGGGCTCTGTACGTCTCACCCTCCACAGAGGTAAGCTGGAGGCTGTGGCCTCATTTCTAACTGAATTCCGCTACTGTCCCCAGGACCACTCCTTGGGAAGACCTAGTTAGAGCCATATCATGATATGATATGAGCCAATTTTTGTCAGTCCCTGTGCTGCACATGATATGGCCATTGTCTTGTTATCATTTCTGCTTAACAGACGAGGAAACAGATGTCTCATGGCCTGTAGGTGGCAGAGGAAGGACTTGAACTGAGGTCCATCTGTACTCAAACCCTGGCTGTCTCCACCACGACGGTCTGGTTGTCTAGTGCTGAAGTCACCTACATGTGTACTAAACCCGACTTCACCAATTAATACCCTGTAAACTCTCACTGAGTTTCAGCTTCCTAATATTACAAATAATGAAGGTTATCGTACCGACTCTGTGGGATTGCCATGAAGATTTAGTAAAATTACCCACCTGAAAATCTTGGCCAGATCATAGGTGAATGTTACGGCTTGAGTTGTGTGCCCCTCCAACAGTTATATTGATGTTTTAAGCCCTAGTGCCTTAGAATGTGACTGTATTTGGAAATAGAGTCTTTAAGAGGTCATCAAATTAAAATGGAGCCATGAGCGTGGGCCCAAATCCAGTATGATTGATGTCCTTGCTAAAAGGGGAAATTTGGACACTGAGATCAACAGGCACATAAGGAAGATGAAGCAAAGACACACAGGGAGAAGGCGATAAGTGAAGGATTGGAGAAATACATCCACAAACCGAGGAATGCCCAGGGCTCCCAGAAGCAGGAGAGAGGCAGGAGCAGGCCCTTCCCTCGCAGCTTCAGAGGGAGCATGGCTCACCCAGCACCTTGATGTCAGGCTTCTGGCCTCCAGAGGGATGAGACAATAAATGTCTGTTGTTTAAAGCTACACTTTTTGTGGTATTTTGTTGCAGCATCTCTGGAATATTAATACAGCACACAATCCAATGTTGTTGTTCTTCCTTAGGCCATTCATTCAACAAATATTTCAAACTAAGTGCTGGGGATTTGTTCAGAGGTGAACAGATCCTGTTTCTGCTCACGAGTGGCTCATGTCCTAGTTAGGGACACAAACACATCAACAAGCAATGATAGTAGAGTGTGGTTGGTGCCTGGCCATGGGCAAGGCAAGGGCAGGGTGCTTTGGGGGCTTCAAGGAGGGGCCCTTAAATTAGCGTGCGCATCAGAGAAGCACAGCTGCTTCGAGGGAGTGATATCCCAAAAATGATGGAGTAGTCGTTTTATTTGGAAAAGAACATGCCTGTTATGGTGCAAGGGCGTTAATGACTTTTTGTTGTTATAATTGAACAAGGACAGTTCCAAGTATATATAAAAAATGACAGGAACAAGCGAGATTAGAAGGGAAGCCAACGTGTTTGTTTCACTTAGCAGTTCTGCCTCCAGGATCGCTTTTAGCTGAGATGTTTCCTGATTAAGGTTGGGGAATGTTTGGTAGTGACAAGTCGAGGTTGAATAGGGTGGGGTACTGATGAGATCAGGGAACATTTATCAACAGGAAAGACTGATGTCTTCTAAAGGCAGAATACTCCCTTTATTTAACCCTTCCTCTTTCATCAACATGTGCCACACGGCAAGAAAAGATTCCAAAGCCGTTGCTGCTGGGTAAGGTTGTGTAGCCTGTGGACTGCACAAGGACCCCTGACCAAGGGGAGAATGAGGACTGAAATCCAGCACATGCTCCCTTGCACAGGCTGTGTGTCTTGGGATACCTCTTTGTTTTGCACAAACATACCATCTGCTTGCTCAGTCATCTGCCACTGACTCAGGTTCCACCCAGAAAGGGCACCTTTTTCTAATTCATACAAGGTGCCATCTATGTAGCATGGTCTTTGGCTCTGGCTGCATGAGGAAGCATTTGTTTCTTTTGAAACCAAGGCCATTCTACCAGCTGGAAGTCTGCCAAGGAGTCCCTGTTACACAATTGGAGCCTGGTTCTCTGGCAACCCTAATGTGTACTCCCATGGCATTAGCTAAATTACCACCACCCAGTTAACTTGCTAGCCTGCACTCTTACTCAGGGCTTTCAGCTTATGCACCTGAAGTCAAGACCATATGTGGTTTTTATGGAGCCAGAAAGTTAGGGATGCAATAAAGCGCTAAGTAACTGGCTAATAAATGTTAGTTATATGTTTTGTCTGGGTTGCTAGGACAATCTTCTACAAATTCTACTTTGTCATATATTTAAACATTGAATACTTTGTAAATTACTTTGAGCTTCAAGCTTCTTCTCCTTTAGGGCCCTCTCCCCCCAATTTGCTTTGGGAGTGAGGTCAACGGATGTGCTGTGGGGGCTCGGGGTGTGCTCCAGTCCAGAATATGAACAGACAACAGGTTCTAACGCTGATTGTCTGGAGGATCGCAAGCAATGCAGCCTGTCTGTCTGAGAGCAGAGGGGAAAACAACAGTATAGGGATAGTGCGGGCATTACAAGTAGATGCGCATGGCCTTCCAGACGGCAGCGCGGGGAGCGGAAGGAGCTGGGGTGGGGTGCTTGGTAAGGAAATAGGATCCCCATTCTGGGGTGGCTCCAAGGGAGGGAAAACCTGTTCACCAGGGAAATAGGAGTTTCTTTTGTGTCAACAGTCTGTGGGTTCATATGAAGACATTTCAGCAATAATAACATAATTAAAAATCACTGACTTATAACCCTACTTGCATGCTACAGAATCTTCAGTTTCTCCTCGCTCCCTACCCTGCTTATTTCTGGAAGCCTCATGTCAGCTCAAGAGCACTTCTTTCCTATTTCACCCTTTAGCTCCTTCCTCCTGAGGCTGCTGTCCAAGCTGCTTAAGGTGCACGAAGACAGTCTCTGCTATGGTGTGTACCGGGGTAGCAAAGGGCCTGTGTCTAGGCCTTGCTGGCCTTCCCTTCCCTGTGTTCTGGGTCCCCTCAGGTTCATGGAACAAGCTATGCTGTGCACTACCCTCCTGCCCTTATGCCACCTTGCCACTGAGACCCCATGAAATGCTGCAGGTGCTCTGGCACTTCTCTGAATCCCTCATAAAGTTAGCTCCTAGCTGTTGCTTCTCTCTGCAGGAGGCTCTGCCACAAAACCAAGGGGCTAGGGAGGGAGATGGGACCCCAGGCCATCCTTCCCACTCTGCCTCTGCCCTTAGGAGATTGTCCACAACATGTAGGCACCAGGACCTCCAGTGTCCCAGCCAACCTTCTAGGGCCAGCGTGGTCCCTCCTTCTACCATGAAGCCAAGCCACGTGTCATCCCCGCCTCAAAGCCACCCACAGTGCTTTGTTCTTGTCTTGTGTTGCTTACCATGGTTTCTCCATCACAAGAGATTTTTGATACTCTTCTTCTTCCCTTTTCCTAAAAGATAAGCTGAGTTTGAATTGGGATTATATTATATATTATTCATTTTTTTATATTTGATGTATTGTGCTTAACACAATGCCCGGCAAAACGTAGGTGCTGAATAAAGATTTATGAAGGGAAAGAAGGAAACGGTGAAAAAGCCAGACTATGCTTTTATGGCACATTCACCCAGGTGGGTTTGACAGTGAGTGACCAAAAGTTTTTGTGGAAGAGCGTGAACAAATCATGAAGCTGACTAGTATTCGTGATCCCTTTTTCTTCTGTGCTGGCATCAGTGAGTTAATCTAAACTACATCCTTTTTCCTTCTGTGCTGCCATCGTTGAGTTAATCTAACCTGTCATTAGCCTACCTTTGTTTTTAGCTTGTTTGCTCCTTGCATTAACACATTCTGCAAGCCTGCAACTAAAACCATGAAGTGTTTCTTTATTACATGGTGTCTTTCCAAACAGCCCAGCAACATCAGGTAGAAAGAGCCTGGATCTGGAGTGAGACAGATTTGAATCTGTCTGAATCTCACTGATGGAGCTCACAAGCCTGGGGAACCTTAGGCCAGTTCCTCAACTTCTCTAAACCCCGACTTCCTCTTCTGTCACGTGGACAATCGTGTTACGCACCCACAGGCTGTTCTGGGGATTAAGTATTGAGATGCAGGCCGAGCACAATGCTGGCGCAGAGATCCTGCACAAATCATTGTTAGCTTTTACACAATTATTATCCTGGTGGTTGTTCTGCCTTCTCAGATGTTATCTTTCTGCACTCACATATTTTAATCTTTGTCGTTTATCTTTATGTGGAAACCTTATTGCATCCCCTTGATTATGTCAAAGATGTTCTCTGGTTCTTTCTTGAATTTTCTTGTACCACTTCTGAGTGAAGAAAAGGAAAGAAGCTACAATGATACGATAAAGGCTTTGGTGGCAGGGGTGTTTTCCGTGCTTGGCTGGGTTTCAGGGAAATCCAGAAAAATACCAGCTGGCAGAAGGTATCATTGTGTTTGGTTAAAGGAACATTGATGTATACCCTTTTCCAGAGAAGTGAGGAGACCAAACCACCGGAGGAAAGAATGTGGCTTTGTGTCACACGTGAAAAGAAAGCTGGGAGCAAGGGGAGAAGAATATTTCAGGCCAGAGCATTTGAATGCAACTGAAGGCTTCTGTTCCAAACTAAGTGACTGAAGACATTTACAAACTAGATGAAAATAACTCTTTTATAAACCCTATAGGACCCCTCCTTGCCTGATGAAATGATTGGAAAATTAGGTAGACTAACTTGTTTTGCTGATTGAGAAAAATATAGCCAATTTAAACCTGTGATTGAACTCTTGAGATAATAAACTCCCCCATTCTAATGAGTCTGGGTTATAATCAGGATGTGGCCCTTTCTGTTCTCATGCTAGCTATTTTGGGTTATCTTTCCTGAAAGCAGATGTCATTGTTACATTTGTAGATGTCACATTTAGTTCTGCACGCCTTGGGTGTGTGTCTTTGTGTGCAGGAAACAAAGGAGGCCGAGACGGGCGGATCACGAGGTCAGGAGATCGAGACCATCCTGGCTAACGCGGTGAAACCCCGTCTCTACTAAAAAATACAAAAAACTAGCCGGGCGCAGTGGCGGGCGCCTGTAGTCCCAGCTACTCGGGAGGCTGAGGCAGGAGAATGGCGTAAACCCGGGAGGCGGAGCTTGCAGTGAGCTGAGATCCGGCCACTGCACTCCAGCCTGGGTGACAGCGCGAGACTCCGTCTCAAAAATAAAAAAAATAAAAAAAAAAAATGCAGACTTTCTTTTCTTTTTTTTTTTTTGAGACAGAGTCTTGCTCTGTTGCCCAGGCTGGAGTGCAATGGAGTGATTTTGACTCACTGCAAGCTCCGCCTCCCAGGTTCAAGTGATTCTCCTGCCTCAGCCCCCTGAGTAGCTGGGATTACAGGAATGTGCCACCACACCAGGCTGATTTTTGTATTTTTAGTAGGGACGGGTTTCACCATGTTGGCCAGGCTGGTCTTGAACTCCTGACCTCAGGTGATCTGCCCGCCTCGGCCTCCCAAAGTGCTGGGATAACAGGAGTGAACCACCACACCTGGCCCACATTTTCTTTCATAGGCCCTTTTGGCTTGGTTATATTGTTTCTGTTTGGGGGGTGGGGGAAAGTGTATCCAAATGTTTTCCTTAAATTCTTTTCAGAGTTCATGGCCCAGGGAACATGCCCCCATGCCAGGTCTAATAAAACTAGCTACACTTAGAAGAAATCAAGATGCCAAGGGACCATCTCAGGACCCAGAAAAGAATGTGGGCTTATGGGTGAGGGCTGGGCTTCTAGGAGTGTTTGCCCTGACGATATAGGAGGATGGGAGAGCTAAATTAGGAAAGGAGGCTTTAGCACCACAAGTGAACACCCACCTTAACGTAATAATGACTCATTTTAATTGAATGACATGCCAGGCCCTATTCTCAGCATTTTACATGCATTCTCTCATTAATTCTCACAGTGTCTCTACAAGATAGGTACTATTTTATAGTCAGCACCTACAGATGAGGAAACTGGGGCTTAGACAATAAAAGTCACTTGCCCAGTGAACAGCTAGGGGAGAATTAGAACTTAAAACTGGCCTAATTTAAGACATGATCTGGACACGTCCTTTGGCCTAGTTTGAGACATGCCCTTCCTCTCCCTTTACCCTTTGGCAACTTCCCCAGTTTCCACTTACGGATATGTGTGGTTCTAGTGGAAATAACCCTGATCCAGCTCTAGGGGTGGGGCATGTGACATAGGCTAAGCCAATCAGGACAGGGCCAAAGTGATTGGTCAGGATGTTACTGAGCAAGCAATGGGCTCACTGCCTAATGTGCATAGTGGCCAAGACCACTGCACTGGCTTTTAAGAAAAGAAAAGATTTACTGCAAGTCTAAGGGCAAGGAGACAGGAGGAAACACTCCAACCTGTCTCTGCAAGTTGGAGTTTAGGTCGGGTTTTATAAGCACAGGGTCATGAGGCATGATCTGATTGGATTTTGCAATGAGGTGATGCTGGGAGGCATGATCTGATTGGATCTTGCAATGAGGTGATGCTGGGAGGCATGATCTGATTGGATCCTGCCATGGGGTGATGCTGGAAGCTGATATGATTGGATCCTGGATCCTGACATGCCATGTTCACTTCTTAATGAAGTTCCCACTCCTCAGTCTTGCATTTAGGTCCCTCTGTAGTTGCACACTTGGTTCATCTGGGCATGCTCGGGTTACATAACCTTCAACCTGGGGTCCATGGCAACCGAAAAACAACTCACAACTTTATGACCCAAAAGTTGAACCAGATTGGTCTGATGTGGTTACAAGGAGAGGTCATGTGACCCAAGCCATTCTAGTCAGAATGAGTGACAGGGTTTTGGGATAAAGGTCTCTTTTGCCTTCTGTAGTAGGGACAGTGTGGATGTGATGATCTTTTATTGTGGGACACTGTCTGAGGGTAAAGGCAATATTCCAGGAGACCTGAGGTGGAAGAACTGTGGAGAAATGGAGGTGAAGGGCTGATGATGAATGGGCCTCAGCAGCAAATGCTGGCTGACACCTAAATGACCCTGGGACTCAGTGGTCATGGGAGGCAACCTAGTCCGCTAAGCATATGCCAGATTCAGTTGAGTTCTCTGTTCCTCATAGCCAGAACATTCTCAGAGATGCAATCACACCGTCCTGAGAGGCTTTTCAACATTCTGCCTAGACTCTAGCCTGACAAAGCTTCCCTTGGGCACTGGAACGTCCCTCAAAAATATTTTTTAAAACGTTCTATACATAACGATTGAAATTGCCCTCCAAATATAAAGAAGGGTGGATGGGCACTCAAATGTCTGAAGCTGGCTGATTTTCACAATAGTTCCTTAATTGCGGGGACACTGGGTCATCCTGAACCAAACTGTTATTTTTTTCTTCAGAAAAGTTTATTGAGGACAAATTTTTGGAGTTCTTGATAGTGATTTTTGAAACAGTAGCAATTCTCTTTACGGGAGAAGTCAATTTAGTTTCTTTGGTAGATTGTCTGGGCACTTTGACACCCGCCCCCTCAGTAACCGCACAATGGCTAGCCCGAGAGGGCTCGGCTTTGGGTCACCCACCTCCCCTGACACCCCTGCTTTCTGGGCTGGCACTTTCAAAGTCATCTTAGTTACTACATCCTGCCAGAGTGTTGAATAATGACAAAGACTCCAGCATTTCTCCTACCAGGGCTGTTCGGATTCCAAGAGGAGACTCCTGAACGTTGAAAAAGGTTTTCAACTTGCTGGAATAAAACTAATGGTGAAATTTAAGGCCCAAGACAGGACACTAAGAAAAAAAATATTGTGGGACAAAGAAACATCTTTTCCCCCTCTCAAATCATGTCCTTAGTGAAACTGCTGTATACTTGTATATTCAGCGATGACTAGGATAGGCTCCATATATGGAAATTCCAGTTTAACACAGACCTATAGAATCTGAAACTTTCTCTCTCCCTCTCTCTCTCATGCACACACACCCACACAGTCAGTTTAAAGGAGAGGGCAAAGGGATTGGGAAGGGACTGGCTGAGTTCCACCTGTGTCTTTGGAAGGCTGTGACAGCTGTCTTGTACTGTTAGAACATGTGCGTACGCAGAGTCTAGCCAGGGCCTTTACTACTCGTAGTGATGATTACTGAAAAGGGAGGGAGGTGAATGTCTCAAGCTAGAGGGAATGGCCTGGGGAGGAATCATTTGCTGTTCTTGTGCATAACACTGTCACCCCCATGTACGTTCAGAGGTTTGTTCCTGAGCCTAGTATGGCCATGCACGTCTTTTCTCTCAAGCATTATGGCCAAGGCGAGGACACTGCTGTAATTTTGCCTCCTCATAACCCAGAAAATCTCAGATGCTGGTTTTAAAGTTCGCCAGGCATTTATGACCTGCTATTCTAGGTGGTTTAATGATGTATAAATAGTGATTAATAGCAACTACTGTTTTTTAAACTATGGAGTTTTTTCTCCTTTAATCTCTAATATAGTGGCATTTTTATGAATGATAGTGTCAACTCACCCACCTTACTCCAGCCCCTTAGCAGGAGCAAGAGGGCCAGCAGGGACACTGGAAGGACAGGGGCATTGGATGGTGAAGGGGCCATGGAGCCCACCATGCGGTCGGTGCATCCCATGAGAGAAGACAGGGCCGCAGAAATGACTCTGGAAGTAGGATAGGCAACATGCTCATTTATGGAGAGCAGCGTAAAAGACAACTTAAGAACACAGTGCCTGATACACATTAAATGCTCAGGAGTTATTCCTTGCATTAATTAATAAATGCAGTAATGAATGCCATTGTGTGCTGAGGTGAAGTATAATCACGCTTTGAGGGATGAAGGTGAAATGAGTGTTTGGATAAGCGAGAGGATGATATCCCTATTCGTGAGGTTGCGTCAGCTTCTCGGCCCTCATGGTCCAAGGGTGGGGGCCTGGCCAGGAGAAGCAATGGCACATTTTCCCAGCGCTCTAATTTTAGCCAGGCTGTCATCCTCCTGAATTTCTTGGAACTGCTTATGCTGCGCCAGCATCCGGCACTGCATCTGGAGGAAACGACTTTTTAACTACAGCATTGTAGTAAGATTCTTTGAACAAATCACAATGAACAATGGTGGCCAGCTTCCTTTATTCTTGGTAACTGTGAGGAAGCACTCCTAAGAAGTTGAAAAGCAGGTGAGTCTGGTGTGAGGCGACCAATTAGACAAAAAGGATGGACCCACAAGACTGCTTAGGGGCTGCCAAGAGGCTCCTTAGAAACAGATACATTCGGGGACTTCATTACATCTGTGGATTCTGGGGATGTCTGGTCCTGGGACTAAAATTAGCAGCTGCACTTTTTGGGGGGCTTCTTTGTAGAGCCTCTCTCTGTCATCGGCTGCTTCTTCTCCCACAGCAGGTTCAGTCAGAGGAGCTTGGAGGTCCCGTGAGATGAAGCTGGCTGTGAGTTTTGCTACAGGCCACGGTCAGGAGCACATGATGGTAGCATTGGCACAGGCCACGGTGGACCGTTTTTCAGTGTACAGTTCCAGCAAAACCTGGTATTCTCCCTGCAAGGGGCACAGGTCAAGTATTAGACGTGTGACCCACGGTACAATTAATCATTTAACAAATATTTACAGAGAAACCTCTATGTGCTGGGTGATGTTCTGGACATTGTGGCTAACGTTAGAACAAGACAAGCCAACCGCTGCCCCGCGGAGCTTCCAGCATCTCTGGGAGAGACAGACCAGCCTTATGATATGTGACTACGTATGGTATGTCAGGTGTTCGTGTCATGGAGAAAACTCATGCAGGAAGGGAGTGGATGGAAGCACTGGGTGGGTGAAGGCGAGTGCTGCTCTGCAATTTTGAGCAGGGTGGTGAAAGGAGGCCCTGCTGAGATGACGACGTTTAGGTAAAGACCTGAAGCAGATGCAAGAAGGTGCAGTCCTGCTATGAGTTGGGGCCCCCACCTTAGAGGGGCAGAAGGAGGCGAGCGGGGCTGCAGGGAGAGCGGGGGATGGTGGGGGTGAAGTTAGGGTGACACAGGAGGCCAGACTCTTAGGACCTCAGAAGCTGTGGTGGGGACATCAGCTTCCGCTCTGAAAGGAACTGGGGTCAGGAGAGGGTGGCCTGCCCTGGCGCCTGTGTCAGTAGCATCCCTCTGGCTGCTTCGCTGAAAAGTCCAGGTGGGAGGTGATTACAGGAATCCAGGTGAGAGATGAAGATGACCTGGATTAGAGGTGGAGGTGGGGGAAGGGTTTGGGTGCTAGAGAAATTTTGAAAGAACAGTCGATAGGATCCGCTGAGGACATGCAAGTGGGTGGGAGAGAAAGAGATGGGTTAAAGGTGACTCCAGGGCTCCTGGCCTGAGCAACTGGAGGGAGAAAGGGTTGTATGCTGAGACAGAGAAGACCCCGGGGAGCACAGTTCACCAGCACAAAACCAAAATGCCCCGTCACAGAAAGAATGGCTGCCTTTGGGGGTCCTTGCTGGCAGCAACGCTGTGAGGAGGTCTCCCTTCCTTTGCAGTCAGCTTGGCAGAAGCCGCCTGGCAGCCAGGTCCTGTGAAGACTGTGGAAGAGCCATGCCGGTTTTGTTTGCTGCCAGCGCCCCAGCCTTGCACCCCAGCAGCCACAGAGCGGTGACGTGTTTGTAGACATTAATCTGGAGAGGAAAATGCTCTGGGGTGGTGGGAGGGTCACAAGCAGAGCAGAGGGACTGTGGCAGAGGAGGCCAGGAGACTGCTGGCACATCTTTGAACTGCCTGTCACCCAACGGGGGAAGGAGTTTAATCTGTACAAAGCAAGAGGGAAGGAGTAGGTGAGACCACCGAAGAGAAACTGCATGAGAGGTGGCTTTTGTTAGAAGTGAACAACTTTCTAGCAATGAGCAGAGCTTCCAAAGAGAGTGGAGTCCCCGACACTGAAATGTATTCAAGAGAGCCAGGCTGTGCTCTGGATGGCGCCTGGGGTGTGATTCCATGATTCTAGAAGCTCCCATGAGTCATACTCTTCCAATATTGAGCAGCTGTAATTTTAGAAACAGTGTTAGGAATATAACCAAAGCAGTCCAAATGTTAGAGAATTAATTATGAGTAAAGACCGGCTCAAATTTATATCTCATTGTGTTTCATCCTTCTCCTCCTCCTCATGTACTTTTCTTTAAAATCTCTATGTGCATTTAGGTACACACCTACAAATGTATTGAACACCACATGAATTTTTCATTACTATGTTATGAGCCTGAGAGGAGGGGTTGTATTTGAAGGAAGGGGTTCTAGATTATGAATTACAGACATCGCAGACTCTGGTACAAGAGATAAGAGTATTTAGGCAAGCGTGCCAGGCTGGAGGCAGGTGGAGGTGTGTGCTGGGAGGCCAGGAGGCCAGGGTAGGGAAGGACTGAGTGCAGCTTTTCTGCTGTTGAGGAGGGCACAAGTTTGCAAGTTAGGAATTTGTAGGTGCACCTTTGGCGATACACAGGTCAGGCTGTGCCTATGAGTTGTGGTCCACATGCTTCGGGAGCCTAAAGGATCCCCTAAATTCTCATTCAGAAAACAGGAAGCATAGACAGAGGACGCCAGGGAGGGCTTCAATCTGTGCCAAGGGGTTGGATGAGTTCAGAGGGAAATAATACCAAGGCCCTGGAGACTGAGCGCTGAGTGGGAGCGTTTTTGGCCACATGGGAACTGCCGTTAGCCCAGAGCCCATCCCTGGAGGATTTGGTTGGAGGAGGTGATACAGGGTAGGTCTTTTACAACCAAAAGGCTTTGAACTGTGTCTGTTCCATATTAAGAAGCAAAGCCTCTGTGCATTGCGGGCCATCCACGGCTGACCTGCGACCAGTGTAGGGAGCCCATTTTGGGATTAAGGCCTCCAGCTCTCTCTCTGTACATATGATGCCCTCATACTGGGTAATATCTGCTTAAGTACCATCAGCAGTTGAAGAACTTAGGTTCTGCACTTCCTTCCTGCATAGTAAGGTGATTCAAATAAAGCTTTTTTACATATCTGGTCAACCTTTTTTCCTTTTTCTTTTTCTTTTCTTTTTTTTTTTTTGAGATGGAGTCCTGTTCTGTTGCCCAGGCTGGAGTGCAGTGGTATAATCTCGGCTCACTGCAACCTCCACCTCCTGGGTTCAAGCGATTCTCATGCCTCAGCCTCCCGAGTAGCTGGGATTACAGGCACGCACCACCACGACTTGTTAATTTTTGTATTTTTAGTACAGATGGGGTTTCACCATGTTGGCCAGGCTGGTCTTGAACTCCCAACCTTAAGTGATCCGTCCGCCTCGGCCTCTGAAAGTGCTGGGGTTACAGGCATGAGGCACTGTGCCTGGCCCCTCAACCTACTTTCAAAGGGATTTTCTGACTTTAAGAAGTTCTTTTCCGCTCTATCTTATAACAGTTGCTGAGTAACTGGGTTAAAATTAAGCCAACAATGCAAAAGTGAAAGTCAATTGTTAGTAAATTTTAAGTCAGCCTCTAGTCGGGAGGAGGGTCAGAAGGACAATGGGGAAAGAAAAACAATTCAAATAGCAAAGATTTAAAGAAAAATGGAACTCTCTGGGACAGTTTAGGTACCTTATACTAGAAGTGAAGAGAGGTGTAGTTTTTCTTTCTTGCAAAACTTTTGTATTTTAATGAAAGGCCTGAGGAAAAAACTCTAGAGATTTCCAGAGGGAGAAGCCTGGAGACTTCCCAGCTACAAGAGCAATGCTAGTGGAAATCCGAGATGGTAGCAAGATGGCACTGTGACATAGGAACACAGAGGCTGGGAAAGAAAGGAAACAAACCCGGAGGTGAAACTAAGAGATTCTTCACGGAGAAAGAGACCTACCTTTTTCTTCAGCCATATACAGGTTTTGGAGAACTGAAAGGATGAGGTTGTAAACAAAACTATTTAAAGTGGTTACATTTTTGCAACTGCACCCCCATGCTTATTGCAGCGCTATTCACTACAGCAAAGATATGGAATCAACCTAAGTGTCCATGTATGAATGAATGGATAAAGAAGATGTGGTATATATACACAGTGGAATACTATATGGCCATAAAAAAGAATAAAATCTTATCATTTGTGGCAACATGGATGGAACTGGGGGTCATTATCATAAGTGAAATAAGCCAGGAACAAATACAAATATTGTTTATTCTCAATTATCTGTGGGAGCTAAAAAACATGATCACGTGGAGATAGAGAGTAGAAAGATAGATACCAGAGTGGAGAGGGAGGGGAGGAGAGGGAGAGGATAAAGAGAAGTGGATTGAAGGGTACAAACACACAGTTAATAGAAGACATAAATTCAGTGTTTGATAGCAGAGTAGGGTGACTATAGTTAACAAAAATGTATTCAGTGATGGACATCCTAAATAGCCTGACTTGATCACTACATATTATATATGCATAATCAAATCTCACAGGTACTAAATACATCAGCATGCATTTTTAAAAGATCACATTTTTGTGATCCTTTCCATATTATTCCATAAGATTCTCTGAGGGGCCTGTAATCCCAGCACTTTGGGAGGCTGAGGCAGGTGGATCACGAGGTCAGGACTTCGGACCAGCCTGGCCAATATGGTGAAACCCTGTTTCTACAAAAAATCTAAAAATTAGCTGGGCGTGTTGGTGCATGCCTGTAGTCCCAGCTACTCGGTAGGCTGAGGTGGAAGAATAGCTTGAACCTGGGAGGCGGAGGTTGCAGTGAGCTGAGATCATGCCCCTGCACTCCAGCCTGGGAGACAGAACGAGACTCCGTCTCAAAAAAAAAATTATCTTAGGGGTAGCATATTGAACATTTATTGCTTATAGCAGAGTGATGTAAATTGAGCCATTTAATAACGTCACATTATCTTGAACAGAAAGGAATTAGTGGAAAATTCTACTCTGAGCTGTGAGCTTTGCCAGCAAATGCTAAGGATATGGGCATTTTATTGACTTAGTGGCAGCTCATGAGTAACAGTGAAAGGACAGTAACCGGGGGACCTTCACGCCTCCATGGCTTGTGCATCTTCCTTTCTCTGAACCGCCAGCCTCCTGAGCACAGTCCCAGCACATGCGTGGTGCCGCCCACACAGCCCAGCAGCACTGCCATATGGAACCCCACAGATGCCGCAATTCTGCTGGACAAGACGCTGGCATCCCTCTCAGTGGGAGGTTTGTATTCGGAGGATTCCCTAAGGTTCACCGACATGTAAAATATTAAATGCCAAAATGACAAAGTCAGCGTGTCAAGAAATTTCAAGTGCCCACGGTGAAGCAGCAGTTTTATGAAGAAAGGGTTTTTGCAGGGATGGCCTATGGATAAGTTTTAAATTGTTTAACTCCTCCTCTTCCTTCTTGGTTTCTCCTCCTTTCCCTCCCCCTTCTTCTAGACTTCTTCCAGAAACAAACTATTTAATACAAGAATTAAGTAATATCTTACCTGAGGAATAGTAAATTCAGGATTATTGACAGGCCCAGCATAGTAAATCTGCTCTGAAAAAATATATAAAGCATACATGATGTTATTCAATCATTTAAAAAAATGATTCATTCATATGTTCTGTGCTTACACTGATGTGTGACAATTGTTGGCACCAAAATAAGAGCAGCTATTGCTAGAAATGTTTTCATTCCCTGATCTACATTCATTCACTTATTCATTCATGCCACAAATATTGGTCGGGCACCTTCCATGTGGCAGGCCCTGGGGATCCTGGGATGGAAAAAAGAAGTCTCTGTCCATGCATTGCTGATATTCTGTTGTGGTTTGGCTGTGTCCCCACTCAAATCTCATCTTGAGTTATAGTTTCCATAATTCCTGTGTGTCATGGGAGGGACCCAGTGGGAGGTAATTGAATCATGGGAGTGGGTTTTCCCGTGCCGTTCTTGTGATAGTGAATAAGTCTCATGAGATCTGATGGTTTTTTATTTTTTTTATTTTTATTTATTTATTTATTTATTTTGAGACGGAGTCTCGCTCTGCCGCCCAGGCTGGAGTGCAGTGGCCGGGTCTCAGCTCACTGCAAGCTCCGCCTCCCGGGTTCACGCCATTCTCCTGCCTCAGCCTCGGGAGTAGCTGGGACTACAGGCGCCCGCCACCTCGCCCGGCTAGTTTTTTGTATTTTTAGTAGAGACGGTAACATCCATGTTAGCCAGGATGGTCTCGATCTCCTGACCTTGTGATCCACCCGTCTCGGCCTCCCAAAGTGCTGGGATTACAGGCTTGAGCCACCGCGCCCGGCCTCTGATGGTTTTTTTAAAGGGCAGTTCTCCTGCACAGGCCCTCTTGCCTGCCACCATAGAAGATGTGCCTTTGCTCCTCCTTTGCCTTCCACCATGATTGTGAGGCCTTCCCAGCCCTCTGGAACTGTGAGTCTGTTAAACCTCTTTTCCTTTATAAATTACCCAGTCTTGGGTAATTTCTTCATAACAATATGAAAGTGGACTAATGCATATTCTACTGCGGAGAATGATGATACAGAAATAACTAAACAAGACAATATCCAGATTGTAACAAGTGCTGGAAAGGGACACCAAGTAATATGAGAGAGGCAGGAGGGTGTGGTGGGGAAGGGGCCAGGCTGGATCCAGGTTGCACAGGGTTAAGTCCCAGGATTAGTTGACTATGGACAGTTGTTATCTCTTTGGGCTCAGTTTCCTTGTTTTGTTTTGTTTTTTGTTTTTTTTTCCAAGATGAGTAAGATAATGACAATAAGAGTACCTGCTTCCTAGGGTGGTAGGGATTAAAAGAGGTAATCAATAAAAAGCACTAATAACAACACCTGGGAAGCACTCCATGAATACTCGCTAATGCCAGGAACTGGGAGGCACCATGTTCCACGGGTGGCAGTCATGGAGGCATCTATAAGGAGGTAGTATTTGAGCCAAGCCCTGAAGGAGCAGAATGGGCCAAGCATTTAAAGAGTTGGGGGAAGATCATCTCAGAATAACAAAGTAAGGACAGAGGCCTTGATGTGGAAAAGAGTTTAGGAAATTGGAAGGACAGTGGGAGATGAGTCTGTTGAAGCATGGTGAACAAGAGGAACTGTGTTGAGAAGAACTTGGAAAGATCAAGGGGTGACATATTTCAGGACCTGCAGGAAATGGTAGGGAGTTCAGATTTCATTCCAGTGGAAAATGTGTTAAAAGTCATGTCAAAATAGCTAATTTATGTTTTGCAGAGACATTCTGCTGTATAAAGAATGCAAAGAAGAGGCCAAGTGTGAAGGCTCTTCTGTGGCCAAGGTAAATGATGGATTGGTGAAGGGTGGTGGTGGTGGAGGTAGAGAACATGAATGAGATAATATTTGTGTTGGCTGATAGCACCCACTGATGAGTGGGTATAGAGAGTGGGGGCCAGGAAGGTTTTGGTTTGAATATCTGGATAGATGGAGGTGCCATTTATTGAGATTAGAGAAGCCTGGTGAGGCAGTGTGTGTGTGTGTGTGTGTGTGTGTGTGTGTGTGTGTGTGTGTGTGTGTGTGATGATTGAAGAGCTCTAATTCTGGGATATGGTTAATAAGGATCCTTGGAAGCAGTTGGCTATACAAGTCTGGAATTTTAGGGAAAATGTAGGAATGGAGCTATGAATATCAGATTTATTAACATGTGGTGATTAAGCCATGGGACAGGATGAGATGCCCCCCTCACCCCAAAGAGATAGAATTAATCAACAGAGGAGAGGACAGGACCTCCTGAGGCCCTCCAACATTCAGAGGTTGGGTTGAGGAGAAGCCAGCCAAGGAGACTAAGAAGAGATGGTCAGTGGAGTGAGAGGGTAGCCAGAGAGTGAAGGAGCAAGGAAGCCAGGAGATGAATGTTTTTCAAACAGGAGGGTATTGCCAGCCATGCTGAATGCTGCTGTTGAGAGTTTGAGTAAGATGAGAACAGAACTGTGCAGTGGATTTGGCAACATGGAGGTCATTTGATGACCTTGACAAGAACACTGGAGAGATGAGTACAGATACCTGAATGGGGTGGACTGAAGAGATATAAGGAGGTGAGGAAGTAAGAGTTTTGTTATGAGAGGAAGCAAAAGCAAAAAAAAAAAAAAAAAAAAAAAGGATAACTGAAGGAGAGTGTGGTATTAAGAGTGGTTTGTTTCTTTGTTCAAGATGGGAGATACTGTACCATATTTGTTGTTCCAAAGGAATAATCTTGTAGAAAGAGAGATTGAAGCTGCAGAAGAGGGAATAACTGAAGACATGAGGGGTTTAAGAAGGTGGAAAGGAACGCTATTAACACTCCCTCCTGTATTTGAGAGAAGCGTGAAAATTACTCCCACAATTGTAGGAGCGAAAACAGAGCAGAATGAGTTCAGGTGTAGATATGTTTGTAGATGGGCCAGTAAACCAATAGTGGGGCTCTTGTCTGATCTCTTTGGTTTTTGCAGTGAAGTCCACAGACTTGTAGGGGGCACTAGATGGCAAAGACCTGTGCTGTGTTGAGCAGCAAAAGGAGGAATACAATACTCATGGACAGTGGGGAAGAAATTTACTTGAGAAATATAGTAAGATTTCTAGGCAGTGTTGAGTGCTTTTCTTGAGGTTTGTGGCCATACATTTAAAGATACTCCAGTCAGCCCAGATGTATATTTTCTTAGAGACATTCAGTAGCTCCAGTGCTACTGAAGGTCAGTGGTTGGGTTGGAGTTTCACTGGACAAGAATGAAAAGGAGAGAAAGTCAAGGCTGTTGGATTAGATGCAAGGAAAAGATTATAACAATAGACCATAGAATCTAACGTGGGTAAGGAAGAAAGTGAAGGCAGGAGGGAGTTGTTGATGGTAACAGTCGGGGAGAGAATTGAATGGAGTTTCTATTATTGCAGTCAAGGTGCTAGAATTGGTGAGCTGGCAGGATATGAGGAAGCCACATGGCAGAGGGCTTGACATTTAGATTTCAGAAATGGTGCATTTTTACAGGCTCTAAGATATACAGGGTTGACATGAGAGATGGTGGTCGAGGTGTAAAGATGGAAATAGTTGTTGAAAGTGAGGGGGTGAAAAAACTGAGACATTATGGTGCTTGGTGGGCTATCCACATCAGTATTGAAGTCAGCAAGAAGGATGACTCCTTGCCCAGCCCCTCAGTCATTACTGCCTCACCTGTGATTCCCCAGCACTGCAAACAAGCATCGTGGCTAAGAGCACATGTCCAGCGGTCAGACTATCTGGGCTTGAATCTGAGTTCTTTTTTCATTAATTGGGCAATTTACTTAACCTGTCTGAGCAGCACATGTAGGCACTGTAACTAATATGTGGTTACATATAGAGGGTTCAGAGGGACAGCCTGCCCAGGATTCATTTGTCATGCTGGTGCTTTGCCCAGCCTGAGGGCGCACCCCTTGCGTTGCAGTCCATGCTAATCGTGCCCCTAACAGATATGCACTGCAGTGGTTCAGCTACTGGAACATGATTTCTTTTTTGGAAGTTATCTTTTTCCCAGTAGATACTCTCTAGCCCAAGCCAAGACAATCAGAGCAGAGAGACAAAGGGACCCCTTCTCAATCTGTTCTGGCAAGAGAAGCGTTCACTGCAGCTCACCAGTCTCTAGAGCTGCCCACTTTCTGCCTGGTGTTCCAGCTTTCTTGCTAATTCTGTGACTCCTAAATGTCCTTTCAAGAAATTCCCTTTGCTTTTGTTGGCTGGATTGGGTGTCTTCTGCTTGCAACTCAAGGATGTGGCTGCTACAGGCATGAAGAAGCCAAGAGCACTCCTGCTGGCTGTCAGGGTTTGGACACAGTGTGGCTCAGGAGCAGAGTCCAAGAACAAGGACCGGTGTGCCGTCCCTGTCTGATCTGGCTGGGTTCCCTTGGACATGTTTCATACCTGCTTTATGCTTCTACAAATTGCTGTATGGTGGCACAGTGCAAATGACTTGACCTAGGAAGCAGACAGACTTGGGTTTGAGACCCAGCTCTCCGACTCACTAGCTAAGTGATGCTGGGCAATTTGCTCAGCCATCCTGCAACTCAGTTTTTGCACTTGCAAAATAGAAATAGCAATGCCTCCCCATAGGGCATTGAGAGGACTAGAGAACTTGTGTGTAAAGCCGCTGAGCAGAATGTGGTCCCAAGGAAGGGTAGAAATGGCAGTTATTAACTGTATTATTATTCACCCAGGTGTGAAAAGGAGTAACGTTCATTTGGTGGAAGCTGAAATATGCAATGAGACTAGGTTTTCTAGCTTCTTGCTTGAGCCAGTGTATGTAACTGCTAAGTTCTGTCTGTGCCTTTTTTTTAAACTTTTGTTTTAAAAAATGGACGAGTATGACTCTTTGAAGAACAACACTCTAATGATACCTAATATTTTGTTGTGCTCATTTAATGCACCCAGGTTGGCTCATTTGTGTTCTTCACCATTAAGAGGTCCTTCACTTGGCTGAGAGGTTTTCATTAAATTGGTCTCTTACAGTTTACAGTTTCAATTGGAGCTTTTTGGGGGGCTCATGAAGTTCTTGAGATAACTGCAAGTAACTAATGAAATTGTCTTTT